TTTGCCTCCTTCTCCACATCTCTTCCTGAAAATTCTCCAGCTATTTTGATTTGCTGGCTGCAGAATTCTGGGAGTTGAAATCCATTCTTCTTACTATTCTTGAGGTTGAGAATCTACAATAAGGCTCAGGGCAGCCATAGCCTTCTTGGCTTTTCAGGGATATAATGGAATTTAATGCATAGGAAGTACATAATAATATTCAGGAATTCTAAAAATAGCATGACTTGTGTCAGGCTTAGGTGCCAGTTCACCTAACTGCCCAAGGATTAGTTTCAGCAAAATTCCTTAAGAATCCTTCCAGAGCAGAAAAAAATTCTAGTATAGCCTTCAAAATACCAGAGAAATATAGTGGCTAATTGTTCTGACCTAGGCTTCCCAAGAGCATGAAGCAGACTCTTTGTCCTTACAAAACCCCCTTTTTATTAAGTTACTGTGAATTCTTCTCATTCACATCCAGCAAAGTCTTTCAAGGGAGAATTTACAGTCACAGACCTTATCTGGCTTGGAGAGCTGCCAGGTCGATATCTTTAAAACTTAGCAAGGAGTCCCAAACCAATTAAGCGAACTAATTGTCTCCTGCAAATTCCACTCCCCTTTTGCTCCTCTTTTATTCCATCTGGGAGGGCCATTCATCATCCACCTGTGGCCTTACTCCCAAGTCAACCCTTGTTCTTTAGCTGTTCCCTTTGTCTGGCAACTCTGTGCATGCGCACACTGGGAACAGGCTCCAGCTGTTTGTCTGCCTCACTGATGTCTGACTCTGAAGGCAGCTGATAACTGGCATACGGCCCTGGCCCCCTCTCTGCCTCCAATGCAGAGCCCTCATCAGAGCCTTTCCTAGACTCCAGGGCTGGCCCATGTTCCACCCCAACCTCCTCACTGTTGGAATCTGTTGCCAGCTCTGCTGGCTGCTGGCAGGCCACAGCACTAATACTGGGAGAAGTATAGTATTAGGAAGAATCTGAATCATGGAATTCTACCCCTTGACAATGAATTGTTATGGCAATGTATGGACATCAGGAATTTTTTGACAGTTGCCCTTCAATTTATACTTAAAAACTTTTAAATTGTAGCCCGTTGTTGAATGGTAACTTATACCAATAAAAAAAAAAGGCTCACTTGTACTGAAGTCTGAACTTCTTCCTGCAACAGAAAGCAAATTTGTTCCATTATCTCTCTGACAGGGCATAAAATATTTGGACTTAACCCTGCCTTTGTAGTGTTCTATTCTCAAGCCTAAACACGCTCAGATTTTAATATCTTACTCCAATGCAAATCCTGTTTATTTGCCAGAAAGTCAAATGAATTCCATCTAGTCATGAATTTTGCTACCCTATAGCAAAATATTATGACATTTTCCTCCATATTGTGACTCTTTCATCTTGTATCTCAGCTTGGGGATGATTTGCTCAGTCAGTTCAGAGTAAACACATAATCGAGACCATTCTTTCAGTCATTAAATCTATTTGTGGCCATACATAAGAAAAATCATGCTAGATCCTGCAGATCCATTCAGTCCAGGATTCCGTGTCACTCATTGTCCACTATGCCTTTGGAAATCTTGATGGAGGCTATTCGTTCCCTTCCAGTCATTTCTAAGTAATAAACATTCTGCTTAAGACTTTTAAACAGCCATGAATTAAAAATCTGATCCTCCATGAATTTGTCCAGTCCTATTATATATATATATTTTCTAATTTACTACTATTAGCACAATGTCTGCAGATAAATCTCACAATTTAAGCTTGTGCTGTATATAAAATGGATTCTTTTATGCTCTTCTACTAGGACAACTGCTGATATATGAGATGACAGAATATACAAAGTGATAGATATTAATTATTGACTTGATTAACACTACAATCTCCTGTTACTGCGTTTCTCAAAGTATTACAAGTCATACAAGTGACAGATATTAGGGAGCTCAAATCATTTTAACACCATCACCACTTATTTTGAGGACAACCATAAAAAGTTTTAAGGATCCATGAGTATTGTTTTTTTTAATACAAATAATACAAACATAGTACATATACATCTAAATACAAAAAGAAAAAAAGAAAAGAAAAGAAAAGAAAAAAGAAAAAATACAATATTACAGGGCACCTTCCCCAAGACTCCCCCCCCCCTTATATTTCTTCTTCTATAACAACTAAAAGATAAACAATATATTCCAATTGTGCCCTTATCTCCTCCAAAACAACATATATTCTTGAGTAGGTCTATTCCCTTCCACCAGCACTGTTTTTATAAAATCTCCCCATATTTCATTATAATTTTTTGTTTTATCGATCCCTTTTCTTAAATTTAATTTCTGTTGTTCATTTATCATGTGTTGCCATTCTCCAAATTTCATTATACCACTCATTTCTTTGAATATCCCAATTTCATCCCCAATATTTAGCCATCACTAATCTAACTGCCATTATCAACATTACAATCAATTCGATCCATTTGAGTATTGTGACTAAGTGTCATTTTCTGGACTTAGGCCTGGATTCAACACTATCTGTCATAACGACACAATCAGTACTTCCCAACTTTTTTTTCTTATCTCTAATTGACTTATATGGCCAGCGGGGTTATTGCAAAGCTTTATCCATAAATATCTGTTGGTCTGTCTGTCTAAAAGATTCAGTTTGGAACGGGCAGAACAGGTAAGGACAGCTGTTCTGCAATTGAGAATTTTAGAGCACACTTTTTGCAAAAAAAAAAAAACAGTGCTTCTATGAACTCAAGGATGACATTTTAATGAAAACTAAGTTCTGTAAGGAAGGCTGGACAACAGAATAACAGTACAGAGTAATACTATGCTCAAATATCTTCTACATTTTCCTAAAAGTTTTCTTCTGTAGAAGAGTCTCCAGTTTTTCTGTTTCACTCTAGGGAGGCATGAGAATGTTTTCCACTCTTTATGTGGCATTTTTAAGACAATTTTGTTGTATTAAAATGACTAAAGATACTTTTTTTGTTTGTTTGTTTCATGTTTCTTCATCATTCTACAATTTCTGTGGCTGCTGATTGGAAAACTTCTATTCTGATTTGTTTTAGGGTTGCTTAGAAAAACAAGGGAAAAGTTTTTATCTGTTATGCAGAATATTGTATAATAAAAGGCAGTGCATTCTCACACCGCCTGGACTACTTATAGTTGCAAGAGTTCCATAAGAGAGTAATTTCAAATCCTAATGGCACAAAATCATTTGGCAGGGAATCCATGCTCTGTTATAAATCCCCCACCCTTGCCTCCCCAAAAATGTATTGAGGAAAAAAGTGCTTGCTAATATTGTTGTTGGTACTGATTCTGGAAATTGTTTTTAATAATGGGAATTTGGGGATTTGCAGTTCTTCCCACTAAGGCCAAAGTAGCATGATCCTTGGAATGGAAGTAGAATCTCTCTCTGTCTCTCTGTCTCTGTTTTTATCTCTTTCTCATCTGTCATCAGCCATCAGCTGTCATCCATCTCTTCATCATATATCTCCTCTGTCATATCTATCTATCTATCTATCTATCATCTATCTATCTATCTATCTATCTATCTATCTATCTATCTATCATCTATCTACCCATCCATCCATCCATCCATCCATCCATCCATCCATCATTTATCATCTAACATCTAACATCTAACATCTAACATCTAACATCTAACATCTAAAATCTATCATCTATCTATCTATCTATCTATCTATCTATCTATCTATCTATCTATCTAGTTTCTTATTGTTGGCAATCTTGACTGCAGGCAGTAAAAAACTCGCAAAGACATTTTATAGAGATCAAGTGGATAAACTATTTCTCCAAATTGTGATTTTTGAACATGTGCTGTAAAATCCTTGGGTTTAAATATTTTTGTTTCAAGGGCTAGACAGCGTTATATTGTTTAACAAATGAATGTCTTTGTTGCTTTAGGAATTACACTTTTTAAGTGGCATTGTTGAGAGTCGACTGCCCTGGACCCAACTGTTCTTCATACCCTGATAATAAACCTTGAAAACTAAAAAATTAAAAGGCACAGGATTGTTATTTTAGGACTGCTAGAACTTGCCTCACAAGTCAGATATTTCTACTTAAGCCTTTCCATTAAAGAGGCATAGGAATCTGGACTGAAGTTGATAAATTTAAGGCTCATGAATCTTACGGTGTATGAAGACATTTGCTATTTCTTGCCATGAGATGACAAATAAAGACAGTGAGAAAGTACATGAGTGTTAGTTGAGACAAACAAAGCAATCACTTGCAAGGATATTGAAATCATATGTAAGATGCATTCCCAGAACTGGTCTGATCTGTTGAGGAACATCTGTCTTCTGTGAAAGAAGGATAATAGAAATGGAGGGGGGAGGCACAACACATAATAGAAACTTCATTGTACTGAAGCATGTTACATATGTATTCATACAAATAGAGCGGCTGCCTCTGCAGTGGTATATAAAAAGCTTCTTTATAATTTGTTCAGAACTAAATGATAGAATATATGATAGCCACATGGAACTTGTATACTCTAAGCCCATATAGTGAGGTCAAGGATAATGAACTCTCAGCATAAATTTGGAAGACAGACTCTACACATTAATTGCCCATAATAAGAGTAATGAAGATAGATGGCTAATAAGTGACCAGCAAGAAAATTTCACTCTGCTCCCTGAAATTGAAATAAATTATTATTTATTTAATTTATATGCCACCCATCAAGTTATTCCAGGCAGCTAAATGCATGACAATAAAGGAGTGATGGAGAAGACAACATCAGATAAGTGGCTTAGACAAAGTGGGATATCATATCTCTACCAATTAAGAAGCTTGAAAGAATAGCAGTAAGTGAGCAACACCTGAATCTTGCAATAACCCTGATCTGGGTTACCATTCCATTGTTGCTGTTAGTTGCGAAGTCGTGTCCGATCCATCACAACCCCATGGACAACTTTCCTCCAGGACTTCCTGTCCTCTACCATTCTCCAGAGACCATTTAAGCTCAACCATTCTGTTATGTTCTTATAAGGACATCCGCCGGGGATTGGCTAATCCACCGGCAGGAAAAATGAACTGCTGTCACTGGCCGGCCAGCCTGCCGGAGCGCTATAAAAGAGAGCTCCAGCAGCGCAGCCGGCAGTCTGTGCTTGAGTGAATAAAGTACTGAATGGACCATCGCTGGTCGCGTCTTTTTTCTCTGCGCCTGATCTAACACATTCCATTGCCATGAAGCAAAAGCTGTAATTTTTCTATGAATCGAATGGAAGGCTGGGAAAATTAAATATAATGAGACTGTTTGAGAAAGGGATATAATGATAACAAGGCGAAAACACCTTGAAGTTGAATTGGACTTATGGAAACCTTGTGGGACTCAACCAGTGGTGGCTTGCTATCGGTTCTTCCCATGGGCAGAGCCTCATAAAATACGATGTCATGAAATACGATCTGCACCTGTGCAGAAGTGGCATGTGAGCGAGCGAAGTGAGCACGTGCGTGTGAGTGAACCGATAGCAAAGGTAAGTGAAACCCACCACTGGTATCAACACTGCAGTATTAGTAGCAATATTGAAGACTTTGTCATTGTTTTTTTCCTAGAATGCTTTTCAGCTTCTTAGTATAGCCTAAAGCTTGTTGTGACCCAGGTCCAAGTAGGTATTATCAGACGCAATCAGTTCTAAACACAACAGACTTTATTAGAACAGCTGAGACTTAACTCATTCTCAGCGTAGTCCAAACTTATTCAAAACAAATTCTTCATAACACAATTCTGCAGCCTTATCACCAACCTTGGTCTACTGTGGCAAACTGCCAAAGGCTTTTCTTGGCAAAAGTTCAGAAGCAGAAGACGCCAACAAGAAATAAATGCAGCAAGACAAGAAACAAATCTATCAACGTTGTTTTCCAACAAAGAGCCCAAGAGACGTTGCTGGTTTTTTAAGCCTTATGGGAGGGGCCAATCATCTCTTGGCCTTACTCCTGAGTCGTCCTTTTTGCTTTAGGTGCTCTTGCCTTCTGACAGCTCTTCTCAAGCATGCACAGGCACCTCCTGTTCCTCTGCCTCTCTGCTCCGGAGTCCACACATCACTCCCAGATGGCCCTGGCCCCATCTCTGCCTCCGATGCAGAGCCCTCATCCGGGCCTTCCCCAGCCTCCAGAACTGGCCCATATTCTTCCTCAGCCTCCTCACTGTCCAACTCCACTGCCAGCTCCGCAGGCTGCTGGCGGACCACCAGAAAGCTATAAAAAACACACAGACATAATAATTCCTTTAAAAACAAAGTTATGAAAAGACTGGCAGTATTTCTGCCAAACTGTAATTCCAAACTATCTAAGGAAGGTTTAACAACCAAATGTATTTGTATATTTATGTTAATCAGGTATGTATTTATATTAATCAGACTTTAGTCTTTTTAACACATCTTTTAACTTTGTCCTTATTTTATTTTTCAGCCTGTTTTTAATTCAACTCTTAATTATATGCCTCCTATATAGTTTTATCATTTGTATTTGTAAGTCAGAGTCACCTATATTTACCTGGATAGCAAGATGGGCAGTTTAAATTTGAAAATAAATAAATAAATAAATAAATAAATAAATAAATAAATAAATAAACAAACAAACAAATAAATAAATAAATAAATTTTAATGCATATGTTAATTGTCTAAAAACAAAACACTGAATTTTATGTTGCTTAACATAAGACACCTGAGTCAGTTGCTTCCTGAATTTATTCCTAGCTTTTTATTACTGAAGACAGCCATTTGTTCCATTTAGTTCAATTAAATGGAACAAAATTGTACTCTGCTGTTTTTATCCTTACAGAATTACATGTAAGATGAGAATTTCACATGTAAGTCAAATAGGTCAATTCATCCCAAGAGCATCAAAGAAGAGACGCATATTCATCCCAGGAGTGTGATTTAAAAATGTAAAAAAACAAAACAAAAAACCCTCATTTATAATATTGAATTTTAAACAAAATCAAATAATACAAAGCCAGCATATCTTAAAGAAAAATATCTCAATGAAAGCATATATAGGGAAATTATTATAATACAATGATATATTCATAGATTTTTTATTTTGATTGTAAAGCAAATACAAAGTATCCAGTCTCTAATTTCTGGTAGCATGTTTGCAAAGTGGAAATTCTGCTAATCATTTTCTTGTGGATAAGAATAGAATCATTGTTCCACTTTGGTACTGAATATCTGGAGATTTCAACTCCTTAAAAAAGATCCTGCCTACTTACCATATTTTTCAGAGTATACGACACTCTGAACTATATGATGCACCTACCTTTTTTGGGAAACAAGAAAAAAAAAATCTGCCTCTGCCTCCCAGCAATTTGCCTCCTTGCAGCAAACAGCCCTGTTGCAATATTTCCAGGATCAGACTCAATAAAGATAATAGAAGTTAAAGCTTTAAATATATTTCTTTTTAATTATGATAGGCATTCTATATTCACTGAATATTCAAGGTAGAAGCAACGAGAATGGTGAGGGTGGCTCCTTATATATACAAGGGGTGGAGCTAGGAATGGGAGTGGTAAGTTATGAATACATTAAAGTCCAAAGAATAAGTTAACCTCTGATGTTCCATATATACATTATTTACACATTGGAGAATAAGGCATTTACATCTGACAAGCCCATTTCAATTTCAGCTTCAGCACAGCCTGATTAGCACAAGCAGCTAATTGTCAGTTGGATCGGCCTCCTGAAGATCATCTATTTCAGGCTGCAGGGATTGCCATAACCTATTGCCGCCTCCATGCTCCCCATTTTCTGGGTGGATGATGGGTGGGCAGGGCTACATTCGGTGTATAAGACGCACCCAAATTTTCACCCTCTTTTATGGAGGAAAAAGTATGTCTTATACTCCAAAAAATATGGTAGTTTTGTTAAGACACAAAAATGGGCCCATAGTACTGTCATGGTCTCAGCAAGAGTTCTAATCTTATTAAAACTTAGGCTTTTAAAAAGGTTTGTTCCTGGAAGCTAATGAACTGCAATGAACGTTTGATACAGATATTTAAGGCTAGTATGAGTAGCTTACATGATGAAATCCTGGTTTTTCTTTAGGAGGCAGGGATCACGCAAATGTTGTCTGATTTGAGACAAACATTTTTTACCCCACTGAAGGAAACCCATGAAAACTAAGTATATCCTTAAATAAAAGCCAATGAATAACAGATAAAGAGATGGAACACAGGTTTAGAAACCAGTGGAATGAGTACACTAACTTAAAGAAAGCTTCATTATCAAACCTGCTCGATGGAATCATGGTGAATTTGATTCTGTCACTGTCATTCAGCAAGTTGTTAAGAAAATTGTGGCCATTTATTAACATGCCAGTAAAGATTTTGATGGATTTCTCTTTTCTTACACATAAGAAAGACATTCGGAGGCTCAAATTATTTGCACAACTGACATGTTTCAGTTGTGTACAGTTATCATATGAATAGATGTCTCTGCCAGTTTTATTATATGAATTGCATTTAAAAGGAAAAGGCATCCAAACCACTTGAAAAATCTTCTTAGCCACTTGTATACTTAACATTCACTCATCTTAGCCTATTAATTCTTCAAAAGAAGAGATGATGGACTGACCTCATGATATTTTCAATGTATTCTTGGTAAAGAAGCAGTTTCAGCAATTGTAAATCTACTGGTAATATTGCTTTTGGGATAATGTACTCAATAAATGATTGACTCTTAGGCATTCTCAGATGGAACTGGAGTTAGGTAGCCCTTTTTTAGACTGACAAATATAGTTAAAAGATATAAGCTCTCATGAGCTATTTTATCACATGCATGAAAGATTTAAATTGCACAAGGGGATAGTTGGGGAACTCATCAAATTTGCAGATGACACCAAGATGGCAGGAATAGCCAATACTCCAGAAGATAGGCATAAGATACAGAACGATATTGATGGACTTGAACATTGGATGCTATCTAACAAAATGAAATTCAATGATGAAAAAAGTAAGGTTCTACATTTAGGCAAGAAAAACAAAATGCACAGGTACAGTATATGTGGTACCTCACTCAATAGTAGTAACTGTGAGAGGGACCTTGGAGTCCTAGTGGACAATCATTTAAATATGATCCAGCAATGTCCAGCAATGTGCAGCAGCTGCCAAAAAAGCCAACACAGTTCTAGGCTGCATTAGCAGAGGGATAGAATCAAGATCATGTGAAGTGTTAATACCACTTTATAATGCCTTGGTAAGGCCACACTTGGAATACTGCATCCAGTTTGGTCACCATGATGTAAAAAAGATGTTGAGACTCTAGAAAGAGTGCAGAGAAGAGCAACAAAGATGATTAGGGGACCGGATGCTAAAACATATGAAGAACAGTTGCTGGAACTGGGTATGTCTAGTTTGATTAAAAGAAGGACTAGTGGTGACACGATAGCAGTGTTCCAATATCTCAGGGATTGCTACAAAGAAGAGGGAGTCAAGTTATTCTCCAAAGCACCTGTGGGTAGGACAAGAAGCAATGGGTGGAAACTAATCAAGGAGAGAAGCAACCTAGAATTAAGAAGAAATTTCCTGACAGTTAGAACAATTAATCAGTGGAACAACTTGCCTCCAGAAGTTGTGAATGCTCTAACACGGAAGTTTTAAAGAAGATGTTGGATAATCATTTGCCTGAAGTGGTGTAGGGTTTCCTGCCTAAGCAGGGGGTTGGACTAGAAGACCTCCAAGGTCCCTTCCAACTCTGTTATTCTATTCTATTCTATTCTATTCTATTCTATTCTATTCAATTCTATTCTATTCTATTCTATTCTATTCTATTCTATTCTATTCTATTCTGGCATAGGATTTAGATTGCGATGGGTAGGGTTAGGGAAAAGGAGACATGATGATACACGAGACAGATTACAAATATTTAATCAAAATATATTTGGATTAACCACCATAGCATCACTACCAAAATATATCCAGGCCACAAATAATTACTTAGCTCTAATTTATATACACCATATAATTGTTATGCCTTTATATATACCATATAATTGCTATCTTTGCTTTGGAGAATATAAGAAAAGTTGGATTGGGAAAAATGGTCTATCTAGTCCAGATTTTTGTTCTAGGAAACAAGCTAGAAGTCTGTAGAAGACCATAAATGAATAACCTATGT